AGGCACTGGGTTCGATTCTCAGCACCACATATAAATAAATAAAATAAAGGTCTATCTAAAAAAAATATTTTTTAAAAATAAATCAATCTCTCTCTCTCTCCCCCTCCCCCCTCCCCTCACACACATCCAGTTGGTTCTGCTTTTCCAGAGAATTCTCACTAATACAAGGTGTCTCGGGGTAGTCAGGGGAGGGGTAGTCAGGGGGCACCATGTGGTTTCAAAGTAGGAACAAAGAAACCTTCGAGATCATCCTGCCCAGTGGTTTTCTGTTTCATTTCAAAGCTAAACTGTTCATGCAGCCGGTTTGGAATCTGAGAGATGCTGGTTAGGATGGAATGGATCTGTTAATCCCAGGGACTGGGCTCTGATCTGAGCACTTTGCGTAGTATCTCATTTAACCCCTACAGTCACACCAGGAGGGGGATATTGCTATTTGTCCCGTTTTAAAAGTGAGTCAACAGGCTCTAAGCAATGAAGCAGTCTCCCAAGGTCTCACTAATAGGGCCAGAGCTGGGATTGGAATCCAGAGCCTTCTTCTAAGCCCTGTGAAAGATTGTCACATCGTCCCACCTACTCATATATTTAACTCCTCAAACAAGAGCTTTTCTGTTTGAAATGGGCAGGGATTCCAGAGCCCTGATCAAGCCTCCCCTTTCCTCACCTCTAGGGCCCCTAGAGCACCCCCAGAACCTGACAGCTCCTTTGGAATGCAGTTTACAGACTCTGGTCTATTCCAACTCCTTCATTTTAAAGAAAAGGGGGAAATCGGTTCCAGGGAAGATAAGCAGCTCTCTCAAGGTCACCCAGCCAGACAGTGGAAAGCCAAAGCCAGGACTAGCAACCCAGGGTCTTCACTGGGGTTGACAGTGACCAAATGCATTGTTACATCGTGTACGTGGATGAATATGTAACAACGAATTCCACCAGTATGTGGGATGATTATATAGTTATAATGCACTGATAAAAATATGGGGGAAAGATAGATAAAAATGAGTAGTTGTCAAAAAAGAAAAAAAGAGAGAAAGTGACCCAAGGTTTTCCATTCTATCAGGAGCCTCTGGTGGCTCCACGAAGGTCCTCAGATAGAAGGTGGGAGTTGGGGATCCTCGGTGACACAGGGAAAGGAGCTCCCAGGACCAGGGTCCCCCCAATCCATCCTCTGGGTGGGCTAGTGCCCTTGTCTTCCCAGGTGCGTCCTGCTTTAAGGAAGCATCAGGTGACTGTCCCCCTTCTACACTGAGAAAGGAAGTGGCCCGAGCCTGGGCCCCAGACCAGGCCCAGATGGCAGCCCTTGGGCTCCCGAGCTGGCATTCTGGTCCTCCCCCTTGGGTTTCAGCCTAGAGGGAAACTAGGATTTTGAACCAGGCTCTGAGTCCCTCTGCCTCCCTCTGAGGTCTCCCGTGTTCACGGGCCCCTAGAGCCCCTCCCTGAGGCCTTGTGGGAATCCAGTTTGGACCAAGGAGCTCCCACACAGCCCTCGAGACCCAGCCCACCCTTCCTGCTGAAGCCGGGCAGCCTCTCCTGCACACTGGGCACCCTTACACCACAGCTGCGTGTCTGTCTTCCATGGCCAGTGGCTGGCTCTTGGCACCTGGCACAGTATAGGTCCAGGTGACAGCTCTGCTTATGAGCGTCAGGTGGCCACACAGGTGCATGGAGGGGTGACGTAGCAGGGTTCACTGAAGAGGTCTCCGGCTTTCACGGAGTCCCACAAGGAAACTTTCCAGGCCCTTCCACTGCCTGGGCCTCAGAGAGAATCCTGAGCCCAGCTCCCTTATCTCTAATGACAAGTGACTCATCCAAGGTCACACAGGGTGTCCAGGCCACCCCTCACCGTCGTCTCATCCTCTCTGTATCCTTCACTCAGAGCCGTGGTCCCTGGCATTAGCCCCCCCTTATTCACACACAGAACCTCATTGTTCTACCCATAACCAGCCCCTGAGAGACGCAGGACAAGGCTCCCTACTAACCCCGTCACACACAGCCACGGCCCCGCGAAGTCAAAGGCTCCCGGTCCCTGCCGCCTCTCTGCCTGCACGCCTGCTACACCTGGACAGCTGTCCACCTTAGTTCCTTGTCCACCCTGCTTGTCGTTGAGTCTCCTAGAACCAGGTTGGACTCCAGGTTCCCTGACTCCCTCCAGCATCCCGTCCAGCCCGACTATGGGCCGGGGGTGTGGGGAGAAAAGCCACAGGGCAGGGCCTCCAGGGGGAAGCACATGGCTGCCCCAGTCTCCCAGATCGAGGGCTTCCTCAGGGCCTGTCAGCCCCAGCAGAAGCTCCTTCAGTGCTGAAAGCCCTGTGGAGACTGTGAATTCAGGGACCTGACATTCCGCACCGCCCCCCACCCATCACCTAATCTAGATGCTGGCCACAGCTCAGGCCAGACTTGAAGACAGAGAAACCAGAGGGCTCAGGAAGCCTTTGAGCTGGGCTCTGAGTAGAATGTGGGCTGGAGCTTCGTCTACCTGGCCCCTCCCAGGAACAACCTGTACAACTCTTTCTGGTGGCCCTGGGTGGGTGGGTGGGAGGGTGGATGATGGGATGGATGGACGAGATGACTGGTTAGAGGATGGATGGGTGGGTGGATGGGTAACGGATAAAAGGATCTATTCACTTTGTGCCACCACAAACTCCAGGTTCCAAAGCACAGAGGGTGGATCCACTTCTTCCTTTGCCACCTGTGAGGCCAGGCCTGCAGAGGGTGACATAGGGCTCTGGTGCCAGGAGTCTCCCCTCTTTGTGGGACTGGCCCCTGGGCCTTTGGTAGCTCAGCCCTGCCACCTAGTGGCGCTCTGGAGTATAGCCCTGGCTTCCTCACCTCTTTCTGGCCAACCCCCCACTCTCCACCCGAGCCCAGTGGGGCTGCCAAACAAGCTTGGCCATCCACCGTCCTCTCTGGTCCACAGCAGCAGGGCCAGGCTGGGATCTGGGTGAGATTAGGGCCACCTCTTGCTCACCTTGGGAGCTTTACATGAGTCAAGATCCCCTGTCAACCCAAGCACTCGGGCCAGGTCAGCTGGGAAACCCAGGACCAAGGTAGGAAGTAGCCAAGGAAGACTGTAGCCAGAGGTGACACACTGAGTGTCCCTAGGACTTCCTTCTAGCCCTACCCCCCAGCTGCCTCCTCTCCCAGCACCTCTGGAAGTTCCTGGGTGAGGGGAAGGGAGGGGCTGGAGGGGAGGGGGAGGGGAAACTAGCTTATGCAGCCTCAGGTGGGTGGGGTGGGGGCTGTTATTAGACAAAATGCAAACCCCTCCCTCGCAGTGCCTCTCCACATCTCTGGCTGTCATCCTAAGCCACCAGCAAGTCCCAGGCAGACCTCTTGGGAGGAGGGCGACACCATGTGGCTGATTTGGGTATTGCAGAATTTCCTGTGGGACGCCTAACCACCTGCAGGGTATCCCCCAGCCCTTCAGTTAAGGACCATAAATAACCCTCTGCCCTTCACCCATGGCCAACCGGCCTGGAAGGCCATCCACACACACGCTCCCATAGGCTTAGTCCCTTGCACATTTCCAGCCACACAATCCTGCCTCCAACACCCAGCGGAAAGGCCTCGACTCCCCCAGAGACACCTGAAAAGCCCAGTGTCACCCTGCCAGCCTGGGCAAGAGATGTGACCACCAGCCTCAGTCACCTCATCTGTAAGATGGGGATGGCACTGGGGCCTGCCAGACGCTGTGAGCAGTGATGAGGTCAGGCTCGCGAGTACTTGGTGCTCAGTAAGTGCTGCAGAAATCCTCTCCCCAGCCCAGCTCGGACTGCAGCATGGAGCGAGGCAGCAGGAAGAGAGGCCACTGGGGAGGACCACATGAGCAAGACTCCAGGGCAAGAGAGAGCCCTGCCCACTGGCAGAGTTGACACAGTGGCCTTCTTGGGAACTGTGTGGGGCACAGCTGGTTTGAGGATGCGGTTGGGGGTGGGGACGTGGGGCAGGGAGCTGGGAGGGCTGATTCTGTCAGACCCCACATCGCGGGAAGGCTGGGCTCCATCTTAAGGGCAGTGGAAGCCCCCCAGCTTTAGCCAGGGCAGGGACTTGACTAGATTTACACTTTCAAGTCCCACGGGAAGCTGGTGCAGAGATGGATTAGAGAGAGTGCTCAGGAAATGGTGGCTGCCCTTGGCCATCCAGGGGAGGCGCTGGCAGGTGAGCCAGGTGCTGCGGGGGAGCTCAGCGACTCTAGCTGCATTCGGGGCCCTAGTGATTGATGGAATGTGGGGCGAGTAGAGGAAGGCATCTGGCAGGGCCACGGGTTGGAGGGTGGCATTGGTCCAGAGCCTGCTGCAGGGGCTCCTGTGACTCCTCCATGATCTGGGACAAGACACCAACTTCTCTGGAGCAGTGATGGCAAGACCCTAGCCTTTCCAGGAACACATGAGAATAGGGATCGAAAAGCTCAGCAGCCAGCCCGTCCTCCACTGACTCTGATCTGAGACCTCTTAAGTCACCCCAAGCTGCCACAAGGGGAGGGATGTGGCTTGGCTTCTTTGCAGTACTCCCAGAGCCAGCCACACGCCACCCACACACCTTCCACACGCCACCCACATGGCTTCCACAGGCCATGCAACACCTCAGCCACGTGGCCACCATGTGTCGTCCACGTGACCTCCAGGTGCCTTCCCCACACCCTCCCCACGGTTCCCACACCCCAGCCAACGAGCCATCCGCACACCACCACATGCTACATGCGACGCACACGCCCTTCCCCACGCCATTTGCATGCCTCAGTGTGCCAGCCAGACGTTCACACCACGCACAAGGTTACCCTGCTCATCCTCAAGCCACCTGCCACGCCCATGCCACCCACCACCTGCCACGGGCCACCCACACGCTCCTACACACCGCCACCCAGGGAGCCCAGCCTCCTTTCCCACGTGAGAACCAGGCACCGGATCAGAACCCAAGGACACGTGCCAGCAGAGTTCCAGTGTGAGCTGGGCTGGGCCACGGCTTCCCCGGTGACCCGGTCCCCCAGCTCCAGTCAGCCAGCTGCTCACCTTTGCAGGTACAGCCCTCCCGGGTGATGGCCTGTCGGCAGATACCACAGGGCTTCACCTTCTTGAAAGTCTTCACCTTGAAGTGGTGGGTCTTGGGGGCCTCCAGATCCTCTGGCTGTGGAAGGAGAGGCACAGGGGTCAGCCTGGAGTGAAGGCTGGGGTCCTGGGGAGGGGCTGGGACTCTGGAGGAGGAGGAGGGAGGAGGGGAGGCCAGAGCCCCTTTGTGGGCCGAAGGAGGGAGGAGGTGCCCAGGGACGGTAAACAGGGTGAGGTGACAGGACACTCACCCTGGGCTCAAGGACTTGCATGGAGTCAGTGATGGGGGTTCAGACAGCACCTGAAGACCCGAGAACCCAGGGATCACAGACCCTCTGTGTCTTACCACTCATTTTTTTTTTTATTTACTTTATTCTTGGGGCATGGCTTTCCCATAGTGTAGTGCAAGAGTTAAATGTGCAAGAGCAACGTGGGCACAGTGGTGCACGCCTATAAACCCAGCAGCTTGGGAGGCCGAGGCAAGAGGATCACAAGTTCAAAGCCAGCCTCAGCAGAAGCAAAGCAATAAGCAACTCAGTGAGACCTGTCTCTAAATAAAATACAAAATAGGGCTGGGGGTGTGGCTCAGTGGTCGAGTGCCCCTGCATTGAATCCCTGGTACTCCAAACTAAATAAATAAATAAATAAATAAAATTAAAGAGTTTAAATGTCCTGCTTAATTGAGCTGAGCTGTGGCTCAGAGGTTGTCTGGTGTGTGGGAGGCCCTGGGTTCCATCCCCAGCACCCCAAAACAGAAAGGTTTTGCTGAATCCAACTTGATACATGTGCACCCCATATAGCCAAGCCCCAGAAGGCTCACCGTTGACCCCTCCCAGTCAGTGCCTCCCCTACATAAATCTCACTGGGACTTCTCTCCAAAGAATCATTGTGAGTCTTTTTGGTTTGGGGGGGTTTCGTTGGTGATGGTGGTCTTTGGTGGTGGTGTTTGGTGTGTGTGTGTGTGTGTGAGAGAGAGAGAGAGAGAGAGAGAATGGTGTGTGATGCAGTACTGGGGATCAAACTCAGGGACATTCTGCCACTGTGTTGAAGCCCCAGTCCTTTTTTTTCATTTTGAGACAGAGTCTAGCTGAGTTGCTGAAGTTGGCCTCGAACTTGTGATCTTCCTGCCTCAGCCTCCCCGGTCTCTGGGCTGAGAGGTGCATGCCCTGGAGCTGGGCACCATTTTGCCAGGGTTTTGACTTCCTGACGTGGCGCTGCACAGTGAGTGCTCTGTGTCCGGCTTCCCTCATGCAACGCTAATCTGTGAGATGCCCCCGCATTGTCCCGTGTCCCTTCTGGGCCCGTGCTCTGGGGTATTGCTCTTACGGATACAACAGGCACCCATCATTTCACTGCTGATGGTCCTCGATGTGCCACCCATGTCCCAGCAGGTGGGTTCCTCCCCTGTCTCACTCTCTGCCCCTCCCCACCACCCCCGGTGGAGGAGGCCTTTATTTTTACTTGCTATTCTCTGCATTATGAAAACACGCACCACATTTTTGTCTGTTTGTCTCTTGGGCGGTCTGGGATTGACCCCAGGACCTTGTGCATGCTAAGCACGCACTCTACCTCTGAGCTACGCTCCCAGCTTATGAAAATGTTAAAATTCCTATTTTAAACTGCACTGCCAAGCACGTGAGAAGAGGGAAGACAGGTGGTTCGACTCCTCCTCTCTGTCTGACTTGCCAGAAGTCCTTGGCCCACTAACCACTCCCCTCCCAAGGGCCACAGCACCACACCCCTCAAGTGCTTGTTGACTTTTGTTTTGTTGTTGTTTGTTTGTTTGTGTTTGTACTGAGGATTGAACAACCAGGGGGTGCTCTACCACTGAGCCACATCCACAGCCCCCCTTTTTTTTTAATATTTTATTTTTTAGTTTTCGGCAGACACAACATCTTTGTTTGTCTGTGGTGCTGAGGATCGAACCCGGGCCGCACGCATGCCAGGCGAGCGCGCTACCGCTTGAGCCACATCCCCAGCCCCATCCACAGCCCTTTTTAATTTTTATTTAGAGTCAAGAGTCTTGCTAAGTTACCTAGGGCCTTGCTAAGTTGCTGAGGCTGGCTTTGAACTCGTGATCCTCCTGCCTCAGTCTCCCAAATCACTGGGATTACAGGCATCTGCCACCACATCCAGCTCCCCCAGCCCTTTTTAAAAATTTTTGTTTTTAGACAGAGTCTTGCTAAGTTGCCCAGGTTGGCCTTGAACTTGGGAACCTCCTGCCCCGGCCTCCTGGGTGGCTTGGATCACAGGTGTGCGTCACTGCACCCAGGTTTTATCCGTCTTTGTAACCATGCATGGAAACACACTGAATTGCAAAACCCCTCATAGATGGGCCCACTCTGGGGTCCCAGCCCAGGCCCAGGCTGGGGGAGCTCCCAGGTCAGAGGACTCCCAGGGAGAGACTCCTGCCCCAGGCACTCCCCTAGTGTCTACCCCAACTCTTCCTTCAGGGGCAAGGAGTTCACTGCAGAAGGGAGTCCTGGGGGAAAGAGAGCATTAAAAAAAAAAAAAAAAAAGTAAGAAAATCAGATAAAATGAGACAGAGTCCAAGACAGAAGCCAGAAAGGCAAAGAGGCAGAGAGAAACGGAGACAGAGAGAGTGAGAGAGAACCAGGCGGTGGGGGTAATAGAGACAGACGAGGGGGAAAGAAGACCAAGATAAAGACAGAGACAGGACAGCACACAGGAGCATGAGTAGATGAAGACACAGAGACCCAGAGGGACCCAGAGGATCACAGAGGGACAGACGGACAAAAGGACACGGGAGCTGCCAACAGCCAAATCTGCAAAGATCAGAGCATCCAAATACATAATGATAGTGAAGGCTTCAATGAGCCCATTGTGGCACAAACAATGAATGAGTAATTGAATGTTTGATGAGAAATAGAATATTTACATAGTCTTAAGGCACTTTCCACCTCATAGTCATAAATTATAAGGGGGGGGGGGTGCGTTACTTTTCCCGGCAGACTCCACTTTCATCAAGTGATCAAAGTTCCCATTCCCAGTGAAGGGACAAATGGAAGTCACGGGCCTTGGAGCAGGTGACAGAGCAGAACATCACTTCTTCCATATCCCTGCCAAAAAGCCACAACCTGAATCTAATCAAGAGGAAACATCAGGCCAACACAGACTGAGGCACAGTCTTCAGATTAAATGGCCTGGAATCTTCAAATGTGATGAGGTCATAAATATCAAGGCAGACAGAGATTCCCGGGCTGGAGGAGACTGGACGAGTGACAACCAGACACAAGGGCACATTCTGAACTGGAGTCTTTGGATGCCCATAAAGGACATCGTGGGGACAACTTCCAGGGAGCCTGAGGATCAGACAGCAGTATGCGTCAATGCCAATCTCCTGATTTTGATGGCTGTGCGGGATTAGGTAGGAGTCCTTAAAGAAAACTCAGGAAAGTATGCGGGGAGTGGGTGGGGGGCCATGTGTCAGCAACTAACTGTCCAGTAGTTCAGAAAGAAAAGGTGGTGACACTGTGCACTCAGCCTGTCTGAAGTGTAAGACTGCTTTGAAATTCAAAGAGACTGGAAAGAGGAGGCAGGAGGGGGTAGCCTTGGAAGCCCAGGTATAAAGGTCCAGAGAGCAAAGCACGGGAGCAGGAGGGGGCGGAGCCCAGCAGGCCCTGGTGCAAGCCCCTAGGAACCAGGCGGCGGGTTCTAGGAGCCTCAGCCTGGGGTGGGAGGGGGCCTCCCTCAGTGCTCACAAGGAGGGTGGTAAGTCCCTCTTAGTCTGCCGTCTCACCTCCTGCTCCCCATCCTAGGCGCAGGCTGGCAGCCTTCCCAGGGACTCTGTCCCAGACATTCCAGGGAGGGGGCCCAGGCCAACGTCAACTGCAGAACCCCTGGCCTGGGACAGGGGAGGTGCAGGGAAGGGGCCTGGGCTCAGTCTAAGAGCTCTCTCAAACCTGAAGCACCCCCCAAGCCTGCCTCTCCCCACTAAGTCCGGCCCAGCTTCCTGTCCCAGCTGTTCCCCAAATCTCCTCCCCACAAAGCCCAGGGAAAGAAGCCAGCTCCCGAGCACGGTAGGGCAGTGGAGGCCTTGCTGCCCAGGGAGCTGATGGGCAGCGAGCAGAGGCTCCCAGACTGGCCAGCAAATGCCCAGGCGCCCCCTCCCTGGCTCCCATCACCTGCTCAGCCCCGTAAAATCTGCGTTCACAAAATCTCCCCCACACCGTGGTGGAGGACAGGTACAGTCTTAGATACACCCTGAGCCCCCTAAGCAGCCCCCAGAGACGCCCCAGCACATCCCTGCCCCTGACAGTCCCTGGCTCAGGATGCACTGGGATGGGAGACTCAAGATCTGCCTCCTATGCTGTGCAGCCTTGAGAACCTCTGCAGCCTTCTCTGGGCCTCACAGTCTCCAGATGCAAATGGGGGGCTTTGAGCCAGACAGTCTGAATCAGACAGTATGGGACACAATGGGACAGTCCTTTTGAGATGAAGGGCTTGGGAGCAGTGGATGGGACATGCTAATAGTGACAGAGCAGAAGGTCTGAGGAGACCTCAGGCCTCTGATAAGAGGCTGTGAAACGCTGGTGTGAAGGAGGAGACCAGCTCCCAGCAAGTGGCCCCAGCTCTGTGACCTCCACTCCCCTGCTGAGAAACAGGTGTTCTGTGATCTTGTGGAAAGGGCAACCACAAACGGTGGAGTGTCTCCCGAAATGGTGGAGGAGACCACTTAGGTGCATTAGCCTCCTGCCTTCCAAACCTTAAAGGGGCTGTCATTGGAGAAGGGAGCAGATGTGCTCCGTGAGGCACCGAGGGCCCAACAAGCGAGGGGCCCCACTACCCAGAAGCACAAAGACACTCACATGGTGAAAGGTGGATTGAGAGAGAATCGGGGTGTCTGGCTGCCCCCCTGCCCCCTCCCCAGGCTGACTCTGCAGGTACAGGCAGAGGATGTCAGCGAACCCCATAAAGTAAACGAGCCCATAAAGCGCAAAGTGCCGTTCCAGGTCAACGGCTTGTTGTGACAGTGATCATCACCTTCCTGACAAGTGGCAGGTAGCCTCGTGAAGCAGCCCGTGGCCCTGCCTGCTCTGGATTTGCTGGAGAAATTCA